GGGGGGTTTGGTTTTTTTTTAAGGATGGCATAATCTCTCTCTCGGAAGCTAGTTTATCGCATAAGTAGTATCAGAAATTCAACAATGAGTCCCTTGAAGATGAAATAAAGGCTTCAAAGCCTCAGTTTATAATGTACTCTTCAGAGAGTTCAGTTGAAATAAGTATTGCCCAGCAAGAGCTGCCAGAATTAAGTCTCATATAAGACTTTTTATGAAAATATATGATACGCTGATAGCCTGCTGTTAGAGGGAGGGTAAATTAATGACCCATACTAATTGAGTGGCTAAGTGTGGGTCCTTGTAAAAGTAGTGGGTACTAGTAAACTAAGGACCCACACTAATAATTTTTTATACTGCCAGACTAATTTAAATATGTATATGTAATACAGGAAGAGCAGTAATGACACCTGTAGTTAACGCTGGCTGTACCACTTTCCATTCTAAGCCTCCAGTTTCCAGCTGACAAAAATTCTGCCAGTCTTCAATCATTCAGATTAAAATTTTCTATGCTTGGTCTGCAACCTGTATTTTTTATTTTAAATTCAAGTAAAAATGCTCCTTTTCTTGTTTTGCTGCTCAGACCATAAAATAAAAAATTTGTTTTTTATTCTGAGTTCTGTTGTGCAAGCATAAACCATTTGGATATTTCTGCCCATTAGAGTAGCTTATCACCAGTCTCTTAATATCTGTGTGACATTCATTAACATATGAAAGAACAGCTTTAAAAGCTCTGTTTTACAGGTAAGGATCAGATAGATTAAATTGAACTTTTGCAAAATCATCCACCAATTTTAATTTGCAATTTTACTAGTTTTGGATACTGTCATACACTGTACACAGGGTCATACAATATACAAAAACATAATGAATATGCACATTTTGTGGCCCAATTAATAGTATCAATGAACGAAGTAAAACGTGTATGTTGTATTCTAGCTATTAAACAAGTAAATAAAGAAATGTGATCTAAGTAGCAAAATGACACAGACTTACTAAACAGAAAAAGATCAATTACAGTATTGTTACTACCTCAAAGTAATATTATTTGATGCCTTTTTACTCATAATTTAAAAATAAGCACTTAAACAAATAAACAATATTTATAGGCTCTTGAACACTTAGGCAAATGCTTCCCTATAGAGATGACTGATCAGTAATTAAGGACCCAATCCGGCACAGCACTTAAGCATATGCTTAAATTGAAGCTTGTGAGTAGCTTCAGAGTCCATTTTGGTATTCAAGCACAACTTCTCAAATGCTTAAAGTTAAGCATGCACTTAAGATGGAGCCTAAGTAACTAAAATTGCCCTTAAAAATTCACCACTTATATTAATGAACATGTACAGTAGTCAGCCACATCCCGTTTTGACACACCAATATACACTGGGAGATTTGGGGACCCAATGTAGTCGAAAAGTCTCTCTCATGACTTTGCAGTTCTTTGCAATGCAGTTTTCCCAGCAGTTCCATGAGACAATGCAGCAGCTGGGAGATAAAAACAGTGGCAATTCAAAATGAAGTGGTGGTTGAAATGGTCCCTGGATGGGCCACACTCTCTTAAATTCCCCTTTGCCTTATTTGTCAGGATGAAATGAGTCAGTTCGGGAAGGCTGAAGCTTTAACAACACCAACAAAAATTGTCTACAGTATTTACATGTGTATAAAACTAAAGGACTTACCACACCAATTCCTTCAAAAGCAAATATGGCAGTGCCAAAAAAGAGAGGATATTTCTTCCAACCAACCACAGGAGGAAGTTTTCGAGGATCTGATATATCCTGTAAGAAAAACAAAGCTTCGGCAATTCCAAATGTTTTGAAAGCTTCTCACAGAAAAGTAAAACTAATCACACCCTGTCTGCAAAATTCGTATGTGCTATTATTCCTTTAATTTATAAATCACCTCATTCTACACTATACCTCCAAGTTCATTTACCTTCACCTAGTCCTCCATCCAGCTCCCCACCTGAAGCTCTTTACTGCCAATGCAACATGTATGTTATGGGGTAGATATACCCTCAGGCAGACATTCTTGCTCTAGTTTTATGTTTCTGAAGTACCTTTCACAACCGTAAGAACTAACAACTTTTTAAAATGAAAGGTAAAACTTTGAATAGTATTTAAGAGGTTTTTCTCAACTTTTCCTCTCAGCAACTGTCTTTCTTGCCAACAAATCAGTATACACAACACATTTTCACTGCTGTATTATAAAGAGACATTATTAGGACATAGAATAACAGAGCTGGAAGGGACCTCAAGATATCTAGTCGAAGGGTAGGCAGTTATTTTGGCTGGTGGGCCACTTAATGAGTTTGGATGAGCTATCAAGGGCCACACATAAAATCTTTCAGAAGGTATCATTTTACAAATAGAAACAAAAATAAATCATACTAAAAATCAAATATCTGCTATAACAGATTTTAATTCTATTTCAAAAATATATTTTTTGTTCTGATTTATGGTTTTTTGAGTAGTGTATATACAGCCGATTGCATAATAGCTCAAAATAAAGTCTTATTCTTGAATATTGTGTGGGGGTTTGTGTATGGGGGGGGTGAGGTGGGATGGATGGGTGGAGGGTAGCAGGACAGGCCCTACGAGGAGAGGCTACAGGACCTGAACCTGTTCAGCCTCCAAA